CCACCGCCGTGATGTTGTTGGAATATTGCTAAACGCGGCGTAAAACTAACCCATTCACCCTAAAACCGTGAGAGTTACGTTATTCTCTGCGTATGGTTGGTGGTGGGGTAGTCTAGTGGTTAAAGCGTTAGATCGTCACGCCGAAGACCCGGGTTTAATTCCTACATGGGTACAATGTGTGAAACCCATTTCTGGTGTTCCCCGCCGTGATGTTGCTGGAATATTGCTAAAAGCGGCGTAAAACCATACTCACTCACTCACTCTGCGTATGCGGATCCGCTGATCGGGAGTTCCAATCCACCGAGTATTTTCCGTGATCTGGCACCCTGCTCGCGGGATCATTGAAGTTATGAAGCCCAAAGACTTGACTTACTACGGGTCTTTATCACACACGTGGGGTGATGTTCAAATATTATCCAAATCGTATTTTCTCATTTTCTTTTGAAATCCAGCTGTTAGTTGTGTTGCATAAGACAGCAACGTTTACCCGTGAAGATCCGGGTTAGAAATAATCTTCAGCAACCAATGTTTGCCGTAAGAGGCGGCTAATGGGGTTGGGTGGTCAGGCTCGCTGACTTGGTTGACACACGTCATCATATCCCAATTGTGTTTATTGATGGTCATGATGTTGATCACTGGATTGTCTGATCCAGACTTGATTATTTACAGACCTCCATACAGCTGGAATATTGCTGAGAGCGGCGTTAAACAACAAACAAATAGACAGTAACATTAATAACGCATTCGTTATCGCTAAACTCACTCACTCACTGTACAAAGAGCCACATTAACGATCAGCTGGATTCATGTCCGGACTACAGGTGGGCTAAGGCCTAACACGTGGTTAGCCTTCAGAAAGTCATGCGTGATGCATACAGTTTGACTTGTCGCATTGTTATACTGAAACGTTGATTCGTTGAGGTGAGGGACAGCATAATGAGTAATTATCCTGTCCCTGTAGCGCATCCCACTGGGATTTCAGATTTAGAGTTCTGTAATGACCTTGTAAAGATCCCGCCCAAATCATTACAGATCCAGCTCTCCAAAACGATCTCTCAGCAGCATAGGGCGGTGGGGTAGCCTAGTGGTTAAAGTGTTCGCTCGTCACGCGGAAATCCTAGGTTCGATTCCCCACATGGGTACAATGTGTGAAGCCCAACCCTGGTGTCCCCCGCCGTGATATTGCTGGAATATTGCTAAAAGCGGCGTAAAACCTACTCACTCACTCGAAATGGTTGAATGAGTGTATATGAGAAGTGTTCAAAGACCCTTGCTCTTAACTGGTAGCAATACATACATACACAAGGACCCGCGAAGATCCGGGGTAGAATAGGTCTTCAGCAACCAATGCTTGCCACAAAAGGCGACTATGCTTGTCGTAAGAGGCGACTAACGGGATCGGGTGGTCAGGCTCACTGACTTGGTTGACACATGTCATCGGTTCCCAATTGCGCAGATCGATGTTCATGATGTTGATCACTGGATTGTCCGGTCCAGACTTGATTATTTATTTATAGCTGGAATATTGCTGAGTGCGGCGTAAAACTAAACTCACTCACATACTCAAGCCATATTAAAGATCTCTTCGGTGTGATCGTTATGCCGGTAAATGGTTTCAAGTTAACAATGTCTTGTGCGTAACCATACGCCACCTATACCCATGGCACAGCGGAGACCATTGTTAAAAAGCAGGCTGCGAGTCCGCCTCCAGTTAAGTGTGAACACTATAGACTAGTTACATGAAGTACAATAACTGAATGAGAGGGTATGTACCATATACAAGTCGTTACATGGCGTACATTGGCTGTCAGAGAGCGAGCTGTTCGACGTGTGAATAGGACCAGTCATGCGCCATTAAGATCGGAGTCGTGATTCACAACACGGAAACTCATTACATTAACTACCCTTTGTGCATGTACATGGACTGTAGAATGGCGGCCGGGAGTATTACCGCATGTAATCTTCACACGAGGGAGGAGCATTATAAAGGATCATACCCGTTGTTGTTCCACACCTAGACAAAGCTGGCTTCTCACTGTATCGACACGTGTACCTGATTCACAAGCAATTATACTGGCGTGCATGTAGACTTAAGTCTGGCTTTCCTTCTCGGTATGGAGCCCCGTTGTTGGTCTTAACGCAGGGGTGTCGTGTTTTAAAGTAAACGTTTTGTTCTGGTGGGACGGAGAGTGCATGAGAGCCAGGACCTAAAACAGCTCTGGGAATGTCATAGCAATATTTGAAAGGGGGGCATTCTCTATAATATTCCATATAATTTCGGCCAAATTAACTAAAAGGACTAAACTGACGCATACACACACGCACGCACTCACGCACGGATGCACATATACATACGTATACATAAACAAACACAAAACACACTCACACATAAACGCACATACGGACACATAAGTACACACACATCCATACAGACATACATTGGAAAATGTATGTATGTATGTATGTGTGTGTATGCATGTATGTATGTATACTGAGTCAAAAAAGAAACTTCACAAAATGTAATTTGAAAAATAATGAATAATTTTTCTCTGATGATACATCTATGTATCCGAAATGGGATCCCTATCTTTCGACTCTAGAAAAACGTTAGCAAAACCCACTCAAACCCATCCATTCGTCGTGCAAATGACGTTAGTGCCAAATCAGGTTTTCCACGTGCAGTCGATCACGTGATCTTCGCACGTGTTTGCACTGGCCTCAAGAACTGAAAAAAACACTTTTAAACCACAGTTCTAACGGTACTTGAAATGCCACGATTGTCAAATGTGCAACGTGAACGTGCCGTTGGCATGTTGCAAGCGGGAAGATCAGTTATTGACGTCGCAAGAGCAATGGGATGCAGCCGTCGTACTGTGTATGACTTGCGAGGTCGTCTACAACAAACTGGCACCACTTCTGATCGCCCAAGGTCGGGTCGTCCACGTGTGACGTCACGAGCAGAAGACCGTCAAATCGCCCTACGTCACCTACGTGACACATTTCTGCCGGCTACACGAACCAGGGATGAGATGATTAGAGGTCGACTGTCCTCACAGACCATTCGAAATCGGTTGCGGGCTGCCAATCTCCATTATCGACGTCCATATCGTGGGCCAATATTGACGCCGTTTCATCAACGTCAACGTCTGCTGTGGGCCCAACGTCACCTCCGATGGACCAAGAGAGACTGGAATCGAGTCGTCTTTAGCGATGAATCCAGGTTTACCCTCAGATTCGCGGACGGCAGGCATAGAGTCTGGAGACGACGTCGTGAACGGTATGCCCAATGTTGTGTACAGGAAGTCGACAGATTCGGGGGCGGAAGTTGCATGGTGTGGGGTGCTTTCTGCGGGAACAACCGTTCCCGACTTCTGGTCATCCGTGGAAACCTCAAAGCTGCTGCTTACTGCGACCAGGTGCTCACCCCTGAACTCGTTCTTTTCATGGCGGCTCATGGCCCAGGTCTACAGTTCCAACATGATAATGCTCGGCCGCATACCGCGATGTTGGCACGAAATTTCCTTCAAAACGCTGCAATCAACGTCATGGACTGGCCATCGAGGTCCCCTGACCTTAATCCAATAGAGCACGTTTGGGGTGCACTTGGGAGAAGGCTTCGTGGTCTTAGGAACCAACCTCAGAATTTGCAGGAATTTGGCGCTGCCTTGCAAGAGCAATGGCGCAGAATCCCCAACCACGTGTTCACAAGCATCAGGCAGTCGATGAGGAGACGGTGTTTGGCAGTGGTGAATGCGCGGGGCGGCCATACACGATATTGAACTGAGAAATTTCGCATTTTTATTCTTGACTTGACATTCTGTATACCCATGTTTTGGAACGGCGGTGTAGCATAATGGAACTGATTATGACACTGTCAGTGTATTGAGTACATCACACAGATCTCAGCAATGAAATAATAACAATTTAACCATCTTACCATCTCTTGTTCTTTTAGAGTGCCCTGAAGAAAGAATGTGAAGTTTCTTTTTTGACTCAGTATATGTATGTATGTATTTCTGTCTGTCTGACATACACACACATACATACATACATACACACACAGGTGAGGTGAGGTGAAATTAGGTTTTACGTGGTGCTTGAGAATATTTCGCTCATATGACGACGTACACACACATAAATACACACATACATACAGACATACATACATACACACACACATACATACATACACACATACATACATGCGTGTTAAAGGCGAATAACGGGTCGCTGACTTACATGTCATCGTACCACAGTTGCGTAGATTGATGCTCATGATGTCAATCACTGGATTGTCAGACCCAAAATCAATTATTTGAAGACCACGTCATATAACCGGACTGACTGACTGACTGAGTTTAGTTTTAGGCCGCTTTCAGCAATATTCCAGCACTATCACAGCGAGGGACACCAGAAATGAGCTTCACACATTGTACCCATGTGGGAAATCGAACCCGGGTCTTCAGCATGACGAGCCAACACCTTAACCATTAAGGTTATCCCACCGCCCCCATATAACTGGAATATTGCTGAGTGTAGCCTTACATTACATACAAACATCAACATAAAACACACACAATCACCTGTATAAGTGCGCGCGTGTGTGTTTAAAGTATTCTCACAATTTGAAAAAAGTCATTATCACCCTCCATTTGGTAGGAAGGGCCATGTTTCATTGTCCAGTGTATTACAAGTAAATGAAGCGTTGAAGGAAGGATTACAGGACGGTACAGATAGGTGGGAGTAGCAATCGGCTGAGCTCCGGGCTCCATACTGAGCAGGTATGGTAATCCCCACTTTGTATTCCTATCGGGGTGTTATCGCTACGCGACCAGTCAACCTCTGGGTGGGTGCTTCAAGCCTAACTCATGTGGGCGCACTTCGAGCAGAAAAAGGGTACCTCACTACCAAGTCGACAAACACAAGGCTTCGTTATCATAAGTGTCAAGAAGATGTACCCGTTTTAATAATGAGGTGAGGTGTGGTAAAGGTATGTGGTTTTCCATGAGGAAAAAGAGATCATCGTGTTGGACACTCGGAGAGCGCCCTGTTGCTCTGTGGAAGATTCGTTCACATCTATACCCTATTATAACGGAAGGGGTTGAAGTTCACGTTGTGTTATAGAGGCATGGGTTGGAATCCCCTCTCTCACCCACACCCTCTCATGGATATTGCGTGACCCAGGCGATTTACGGATAACCCGACATAGCAACAGTTTCACATTCAACCTTCGGATCACAGATTTGCATTGAAAAGTACACGTTCTCCATTGAAACAATATTCGAATTTACTACAAACATTAATACACGGAGCCGATATTTGTAATATTGTTCCGGACAATGAACGTGTAGCCTATATCAGGTGATTTATGGCAATACGATCGAGCACCTGTCATGCTAAGTCGTGTATCAGCATTGAAGTGTAAATACCGGTGTTGTCGCAAATACATGCCGCCGTGGATCTGCCATGTTGTCGGAACAGATCAAGTCGATTTACATTGGATTGGGAGTTCACCGACTGACAAGCGACAAGAATTAACGCCATTACATCGATCAGCGAGGATACGCACACACGACCAATTCATCTGACATATCCGCGGAGTTAAAAGTACATCGAACGATTACGATTGTCATCTACAAAATCCGACTTCATCCGAATGGCTGTATACACTTCTGTGATGTTTCCGAAGGATAACAGCGGTGGTTTATGGGTTTTTTAAATACTATAATTGTGATCCCCACATGATTTGGGTTTCTTGACCACGTAAGTAAAAAGGCATTGTTTGATTGTTCTGTTCTGATAGTGTGTCATTATGCAACAAGGGCGCCTACACGAGCTGTTGACGTTTGAACAATAGCGCCGAGCTCTATCAAATGTGATCGAATGTTTGTGCTTGATTGAAGCTGACTTGATTATCCTGTTGTGTTCTATGCGAATGACTTGGCTGCAGGTTATAAACGAGATTCTGGACGCGGGAGGCACTGCCTCACACAAACAACCTGCGAAATTATCCACGGACTCGCGCAATAATATTGATTCCGTCGGGAAGGTGTGACGGCAAACAGCTTCAAACGCTTTTTAAACGCTCGGCAATCTTGCCTCAGTTGGATTTATTATGCATTGCAGGCGTGCATGACGAAGTTATTTCACGGCTGACTACGCTGATAAGCTTCCAGCTTACAGTCTGTCCGAGGAGTGACCAGGTGGGTCAAGCAGTACCTGAGACATGCTGAACCAAGGTGTTGCCTGGCTGGCTTCAGGGTACAGACCTGGTCAGCAACAGAATTCCGACAATGCTTCCATTCCGGAATCTGAGGACAATATACGTATATCAGAGGAAGAGGTGGCACGGAGGTACCCTGAATGGGGTGGTCACCCCCAGCCCCCACCCCCATCACCTACCCAGCGGCGGGCACAAAGCGCCAGGGCCAGGAGCCTCAACAAGACAGAAGAGACGAAGCAGGAAGCGGCCAAGTTCAAGAGACCGGGCAGCGCGCGGCCCTTATCCGCTGGGAGAGGGGTGCCGAAGAAAAGGGCGGGTAGTGCTGGGACAACCCGGTCCCTCCCTGTCACCCCAAGGCAGGGGAGACCTATCACGGGATATTTCATTCCAAAGGATCCTCGGACTAAACTGAAGATTGATTTCCACCCTGATCCCAATCACCAATATATGGACCGCCATTCTAGGTGCTTTGATACCAGTCACATCCACGACCCACTGCTGTCGTACCGACCCCGGCCGTCGTGTCGAGCTGCCTGGGTCCCCACGGGCACGCGTCCCGGGTCCTCGTGCAGCGCTCGTTCATCGTACGTGGATCACTTGAGTAAAATCCAGCGTTACACGGACAACCACAGGCCGCAGACAGCGCCAGGCACGGTGAGTCGTTTTGAATTACCCGCGTTTAAAACAGTCTGATGACCATAGTTAATCCAACCGGTTTTTCGGCGCTGCTTTGGGTGGTGGGGTAGCCGTGTAGTTAAAGCACCCGCTCATCAAACCTACGGTCAATTCCACAAATAGGTGCAACACTGTTACACTATTTTGTCCGGGGGCCGATGGGACAGCCTAATGGTTAAAGCGTCCGCTCACTCCACTCAAACCAAAAGTGTTTGCTAAATGATATAGTGATGCTTTGGGGACATATCTAAGGCGCATCTGTGTGAAGCTCATTTCTGGTGTCCCCCGCCGTGATATTGCTGGAATATTGCTAAAAGCGGCGTAAAACCAAACTCACTCACTCACTCACTCTAAGGCGCACCTACCCTCTGGTCTACTGGTTTCGCCAGCAGCTGTTCAGCCCACATGGTCTGACTAGATATTATTACAAGTTGTGGTTTGAGAATGGCGTGGGTAAACAACGTTAGACATTGTGTTAGTGATACGGGATACAAATACAACGGCATTTATGGTGTGAGGTGACGTATAAGTAAATATACTCATAGAAACAAATAAGGAACACAAAGTACAAGTTACAAGTGTTCCTGGAAAGAGTTCCTTCCGTTCCCCCATATGATTGCCCAATCATTTCTTCCGCAGATTAACAGGTAACGCAACGTGGTTTGACCCTATATACTGTAATTAATTTTTAGGCTTTTAGATATTTTTGCGAGTTCTCTAGTAATTGTTGTGTTAGGTTTTGTTAATAATTACAGTATATATTCATTTATAAATGTTATTTGGGATGGGGGAACGGGAGGAACTCTTACTGTTTTCCTGTATTCATTCCCAGAATTTCACCCACAGTGCATGACATACCTTGTGAAGAAACCTGGAAAAGAATAAAGGAACACTTGTACTTTCCTTTCGTTTCATTTCCATGAGTATATATAACCATAGTTACTGTAATGACGCGCGTACACGTCTTTAAGTCACCTCGCCAGTTTAGGTTTTCATCTACCGGACTAGTGGACACACCAGCCAATTTCATCACTCGTTGAGCAGTTTGTGTTAGTGGAAGCCAGAGCCACTTGTAAACAGTGAAACAACGATGTCATAAATCAATTAACAGGCAAAACAGATCAAAGAAATCACGAGTGGATAAAGCGCAAGTTGTAACAGACGGAGACTCTTTGAGTCTCATACATTCGGAGGGTTTAGACGACCCTTTGATTCGTGTTTGACTGACTGACTGAGTTTTGGTATTACGCCGCTTTTAGCAATATTCCAGCAATATCACGGCGGGGGACACCAGAAATGGGCTTCACACATTGTACCCATGTGGGGATTCTAACCAGGGTCTTCGGCGTGACGAGCCAACGCTTTAACCACTAGGCTACCCTCACCGCCCCGATTCGTGTTTGAATTAAGTACCATGTATTGGAGGCGTATACATGATCAGTAAACACTGTGGCAAAAAAAGGTATTCACTTGAAAATTAGATTTGACCAAAACATTCCACACGTTATCTGAAGGTTACTTGGCTGAAAACAGCCACCGGAACTCTTCAAACTGAAGTTACAAAACACAAAGGGACGGTCGGGTAGTCTAGTGGTTAAAGCGTTCGCTCGTCACGCCGAAGACCCTGGTTCGGTTCCCCACATGGGTACAATGTGTGAAGCCCATTTCTGGTGATCCCAGACACAGCATGATCCCAAAGTGATATTGCTTGGAATATTGCTCCACCAACGCAAAAACAACGTAAAACCATACTCAGGGGCTCGCTCAGTGAAAACACAGCACCAACATGCCTTGCTGCAAAAACAACCCTGATCAAGGGGTGCAAACCCGTGATCAGATTCGCCTGCTGGGTTGTCTCCAGGTTTGTAAGCACCACATTCGTTCTTGTGGATTTCACCAAGATAGTAAACGAAGACCAGAATCACTTCCGGTTTACCACACGTCACGCTGACACACCGTGACGTAACTGGAATACCGTCGTACCCGTGCCGACAACGACGCCTTCAGCGTCAGTTATTTAAAGCGACGTCAACCACTCACAGAGTATATGGTAACTCACTCACAATCAATACTGGCCCTCCAAGCATCGAACTCGTTCCTGTGGGTGTCTCCGGGGTGGTGGGGTAGCCTAGTGGTTAAAGCGTTTGCTCGTTGCGACAAACCGAAACATGAGTCTCATTAACCAATTCAGACAATGACCTACTTTTCAGGCGAATCGAATTTTCTCGTGTGAAAGTGAAAGAGACACTACAAACAACTATGTATACACTGAATTCCACTTCCTTGTTTCATAAGAAAATGGTATTTACAAATTGATTTTAATTTTAAAGTTTTAAATAATCGTATTTCTATATTTTGTGTCGAGGTTTAGGCATCATGTCGTTCACTAAGACGTCACAGACTGCCCCTGTTTGAAGAGGTCGTACAGTGATTCACAATTCTTCTGGCTCACTGGTTACACCTGTCATGTATTCTTTGCGCATATTAAGTGTATTGTTGTAACGTGCAACGTGATTGATATGATATAAAGTCCGTACCAGACCGCCAAACTTTTCTAGCGGCCGAGTCTCGTTTTGAGAATTCCACGATTTCCAGATTTCCGTTTGTCAGAGCACGCTGTTCGACGGCATTCGTCACTACTTGTCCCTTTCCGTAACCTCTTTATTCGGCTTGTCCAGGAATAACACTAGTTGGTCACGAATGGTTCGACAGAGCACGAAGCACGAAGTGCTTGCAAGGATTAGGAGCGTAGTGTTGTAATATATACGTGATTAGATGTATCAAATAATACTGATTGATATTTATATATCCAGTTGAATGAGTTGGTCTCAAAATTCTGGACTGGTTATTGTACTAAGTTGCGCAATAGGACGGAGCCCAGTCAGCCGGAAACGTGACTGTTGTGTTATCAATGTTTTGCCTTGCGGCCTAAAACCATACTCACTCAAGTTATGAGAGTAGTATCACGTTTTTGTCACCGTGCACATTAATAATGGATGCAGTCAGCGAAAATACAAATAACATTCGTAATATGATAGTCCCACCTGTAATGTCCTAAATGAGCAAGACATTGAAATCTGTGATTCTGTTGATGACTCGGTGGCTTTATAATCAAATTGTGTTTGTCATTCCAAAGTTGACCCGTGAAGATCCGGGTTAGAATTGATCTTCAGTAACCCATGCTTGTCGTAAGAGGCAACTAACGGCATCGCGTGGTCAGGCTCGCTGACTTGGTTGACACATTGTATCCCAATTGCGTAGATCGATGCGCAAACTGGTTAATCACTGGATTGTCTGGTCGAGATTCGAGTATTTACAGACCTCCTCCTTTTAGCTGGAATATTGCTGAGTGCGGCGTAAAACTAAACTAAACTCAGTCACTCACTCACTCATTTCACAGTTGAATTAAACATTAAAACAATACATTATTTGTTATATTCAAAGTTCATCTTGCATTGTGATATAAGTGAAAGAGTAATGAAACCTTAAGAAAAAATCCTAGCATTTTGCTGAAGGTAGCGGAGACTGCCAGAGAGCCCTTTAATGTAAGTTTTAAAACATATACATACATTGTGACGGAAGCAAACCTCACTCTCACAATGAATTTCATTAAAATGACAGGTCAGATCGCGTTAAAATATGAATAATAAATAACATTCACATACTGCGAATGAACTTGTAATGTCACATGCAAGTAATATTATCGTTTTAAAATTCAAATTTATTTGTCATGTATGTAGTTGTTAATGAAAGTAAGAAATGTGTTGAACACATGCATGTATGTTTTGACAGAAATGTGATAAAATAATTACCAATGTTTACAGATAAATCTAACATAAAAGGTTCCAAAATGCAGGTAATAGCTTTTAAGAGCATCTACATATATGTACATATGTAATATAATTTTGTTCTTTGAGGGGGTCCGAGTGGGCAGACGATTCATGACTTCACACAATTGGTTTTGCATACACTTAAAAGTAACCTAGCTGCGTCGCTGATGGTAGTCAGTCACTAGAGCGGCGTAACACCATACTCACTCACTCACTCACTAAAACATCCGTAGATGTGGCTGTCGTCTCTGTGGAAGTGGCATCACAACTGAAAATTACGTTATGAAAACCGTGTGTGGCCATCGCCTGCATCACTCAGAGCTGTGCTTCGTTGTCTCTTTGACGTCACTACTGACTGGATTTCTTGTTAGGGAATTTGTTCCATCAAACAAGGCAGTTTCAAATTCGCTATGTTCCGATGCTGATTCTGAAGTTCTTTTTACACGTCTGTAAAAAGAGCCACATTAACGTTCAGCTGGATTCATGTCCGGACTACAGGTGGGCTAAGGCGTAACACGTGGTTAGCCTTCAGAAAGTCATGCGTGATGCATACAGTTTGACTTGTCGCATTGTTATACTGAAACGTTGATTCGTTGAGGTGAGGGACAACATACTGAGTAAGAATCATGTCCCTTTAGCGCACGCAATCAGATTTCCAGGAACAAGAGTTCTGTAATGACCTTGTAAAGACCCCGCCCAAATCATTACAGATCCAGCTCCTCCGAAACGATCTCTCAGCAACATGGGGTGGTGGGGTAGCCTAGCGGTTAAAGCGTCCGCCCGTCACGCTGAAGACCCGGGTTCGCTTCCCCACATGAGTACAATGTGTGAAGCCCGTTTCTAGTGTCTCCCGCCGTGATATTGCTGGAATATTGATAGAAGCGGTGTAAGACCAAACTCACTCACTCAAACACAAGCGTCAGCATAACGTTCATTCCCGGCTCTACCACCGACGTCGACCGTCACCTTTGGAGAGCGACAAACGGGATTCGTCACTAAATAAACGCTCCCTGACATTCACGTCGAGTCCAACGAAGATGAGCACGAGCCCACTCTCGACGTTGACGTCGATGCCGTTGGATAAGAACTAGCCCAACGTATGCCTCCTGGCTCTCAGACCATGCGGTCGTAGCGAATCATGCGATGCAC